TGTGTCCTGCAGGAACAGCACTTAAACCTCTACACCTAATGGCCATGTCAGAGTCAGAGGTTCTCTGCACCATGAGGCTGCAAGAAATGGCAGAGTGTGTGGCCGACTTTTGAAGTATCTGAACCTGGTTGGTGGTGAGTCATGGATGTGGATGGTCTCTCGAGTGGGAGGAGACTCCAGGTAAAGTTCTTGGAAGAAAGAGGAGGCAGAAAAGAACCAGGTCCTGCTTTCAGAATGTTCTCTACTAGACCCTTTTCATATCATGTGAACTTCAAATACATGTATGATAGGAAAAGTATCCTAGGAGATGTTTCGTACTTTTTCTTTTGATAACCAAATTGCATCTAAAACTCATAAGGTGCAATGTTAAGCCATGCAATTGTATATAAAAGATGAGCAAGGCAATGATCCTGAGAATATTCAGAAGATTCTTTAATCTAGCAGTTAATTGGAAAGATTCTCACCCTGACTAACTATATATACTGATACCTGGGAACTAAGCTACTGCACTGCAGATGGTAATTTGTAACAGTTGTTTCATGTTGGAAGTGCCTGTCATTGTGGTATTCTGAATATGGGCGGCTTGTCATGACATGCCAGTTACTGCTAAGATGTCTCTTGGGTAGACGGATGTTCAAGAAGAAAGGGGTGGTGAATGAAAGCAAGAGACAGGAAAAGGAATATTATGGGACTGTCCTGCTTCAAGGTTGTATATGGTGAGATTTTTGGACTTATGTGCAAACATGAGAAGCATAGAATTCTTTATCCTATTTTTTAAAATATAATCTAATTTTTAAATGTTTTTATCATATTATGTAGGGACTTAAAGTTCAACATATCAATACTTGATGAAAAATACCTGTTCCTTATTATGCCTAAGATGTTTGAAATGCAGTGAGATAGTGAGGCTAAGATTGATAGCCCAAATCGTTTGATAATAACAATAAGCTTTTCTTCTGGATGGTTAACAACCTAAGTTTGCAGACCAAAATTAGAGAAAAAGGAGGGATACAAGGAAAGCCAACATTTTGGCCCTAGCCTTCTAAGGTCAAGTAAGGCTCAGGACATATGAGAACTTGTACTGTAATGTCATGTACCTCGGTAGTGTCCCAAATTTTCTGATCAAGAAGATTATGGGGCCAAAGAGGAAAGTGATCGATTACATAGAGTGGGCCTAAGGAGAGTCACATGGGGAGAAGACACTCTCTCAGGCTTTCACAGAGAGCACATTGGCCAAGCAATGGCTGTGACTCATCCACATGGCTGCACTGATAAAGGTTCTACAATCTGAGGTACAGGATCTCAGGACAAATCCTGAGGGCATTTCACTTACCTTCTCAGACCAAAAAGCTACAACTCTTGTTGCATAGGTCCTGCTTTGCCTTGGTCTTAACCATCCAGTAGAAAAGTATGAAGTCAAAATATAAGAAATAAAGCCATGCTGTTAAGTTGAGCTGTGGGGGACTCAGGTGAATAATTTCTGACATTGCCAGTTAAATAGAAGACCCCATGCTATTATGGGCTACTGGACTCTTTTAGAATATTTTGCTGAGTTTACACACCTACAATATTCAATAACGGAACTTAGAAAAAATGGGGTATACCGATGAATGTCCATTTCATATCTGTGTATTCAAAGAGGTTGAGATAGATATATAGTTGCATTCTCTTAATGAATAGAATGATTTGTTCTAATGGTGTTTGTAAATAGGATCACAAGTCCGCATCTTGCACAGCAATTAACCACTAAGAAGAATATATGCAGTGTATTATTTGTTGAAACTGTACTTCCGATTTGATTTGAAACTGTCTCATTGCTATCTGTTTATCAATAAAACTTTGAAAAAAAATTAAAAAAAATAAAACTCATAAGGTTTCCATCTCTCCATTATCCCTCTTTTTGTAGAGGGATCCCTCTTCCAGAGGGCTCCTGCCAAAAATTTCTTAGGTGGATTCTTACCAAGATCATGGAAAGCCCATTGACACTAAATCTAATGACAGCTTTCAACACCTTTAAAGCACTCATCCTAGAATTTGTCCTTGCTTTTGGTCACTTTCCTCATCTTGTAAGTGAATTATATATTTTTCCATTTTTATTTGTCATATTAAATACTAAGAGCTCATGCTTAAAATGGTTCAAGCTTCCCTTGTGCTTCACACACTATGTCTATGGGTACTTTGCAGGGGCCTACAGAATCATGAGTTTCACAAATGATGAGAAAAAATTATGACCAAAGCACTGAATTCACTGGCATTTCATCGCTTGTTTTTCAGTGTCTCAAGCTTCTACTATTTTCTTCTTCCTTCTGGTGAGACATGGTCTGTCACTTTCCATGCCTGACAGAAAAGTTTTGTTCGTGTTGGCTTCTTGCATAAACTTGAGAAAGAATTGTTAATTGCCAGTCTTGGGTAATTAGGAAGGAAAAGATTTCAAAGTCATTATCAATTCCCTGAGAAGACACTGTTCATTCTGCACCAGTTGACTGGATAATCTCGGCTCTGGAGGGAAATGAGCTTAAACAATTTCAAATTATCTCTCAGGATTTTGCTGCATCCCCGTAACTCATCCTCTGTGTTCCTCTTTGTCTACCCTCCTGTCAAAAGTCAACAGGTACTTTACTATATACCTATCTGGTCAAACAATTTCAAAAGGAAAGACCTCAATATGTGACTGATGTGATGAAAGTGATTCTCCTATACCAACATGGCCCTCTGACATCAGCTCAACACCAAGAGGAAGGACATTTTCCACAACAGAGGGCAACTTATGAAGTGTCAGGTAAGAAAGGACACGTCTATCTGTGATCTCTCCTTCTCCTTCTCCTTCTCCTTGTCATTCATGGACTATCAAAGGATTTCACGTGGTAGTGAGAGATATGCAATGCAGACCTGAGCTATGAGTGCCTTACAAGGTCCTGTAGTTGCACAGAACTATAGGCTCTATTGCAGGAAGGAGAGGAGTCACGCATGGCTATGCTCAGTGACAGACTGTGCAGCCACAGAGTATGGGAATGAATATGGTTGGAGCGTGAACATTTATTACTCTGACAGTGACCATGGAATGTGATTAATTGATAATGATTGACTGTCTATGGGCATTCCTCGTCCTAGTACTGTCCCTCCTTCTTAGAGGAAGAGAAGCAGTCCTCAAGGGAGAAATGATTTCCTGAGAGCAGGTTACAGGAAACAAAACCTTGGTGTCTTCAGCAGGCATACGATTCAAGCATATTTTGCAATGAGACTCTCTGTCATACTGATTATTTTCCAGTCCATTCCTCTAGTCTACTTATCAAAATTGTGCTCCTTCATTTTTCCAAACTCATAGGTTCTCCATGTCTTTCAGGATACCATTTCATGGTGTTTGGTGAAGAGTCACAATTTGAGTATGTGTATGTGTATATGTATGTGTGTTTGTTTGTATATTTGCTCATATTACTAAAAAAGAATATACTTAGAGGTACTGTTATAAATTACACTCAGTAAAACAGGGTAGAAGAAATTAAAAGATTACAGAAACACAACATAATATTTTTTAAAATGATTAGCCTCTAAATTGACATAGTATTATGTTAAGGAAACACTTGAAAAATTGGAGGCTGAAACATCCTCACTGAAATTTGCATTATAAGATTTCATTCTTTGTGTCTAGAGTCAAACAAATTGTCACATGTGTGGGTAATGTCTAACACTCATTTGTTTAGTACCACCACAAGAAACTTTCACACACCTGAATAATCAGAAAAAAGATGTTTATTTTAACACTCTCAATGTGTTTATCTCTGTCTAGAGAAACAAACTCTCCCATCTCTCAATGGTGGAGAATTTTCAAAATATATTTCCCATCATTGGCCATAGGTACGTTGTCAACTCTCTCTCGGAGGACTCTGAACTTTGTCAACAGACCATATGTCACCAGAAATATAAAATTTAAGCACATAAATTTTATGCAGTGTTAACAAATGGTAAGATATATTCTTTCTGTTTGATATGTCATTATTTTTTAAATTAATTTTAGTCCTGTTTCACAGTTCAAATTTACTGATCTTTCATAACATGTAAATGTAGAAATTCAGAAATGGCAGGACAGCCCACAAGACTAGTCCTGATATTAAACTGTCCTTGTATAACCCTTGAAGTCTTTGCAGACGTGGTTCTACCAAAGCCAAGTGTTCAATCACCAAACAGCATTTAAGTAGAGTTTATCGTTGTTGCAGGAGTGTATATTTCTTGTTATTGCTAGTGCTATCACTACACATATTTAGGAACGTTTTACTAAAAGTACCTTTTTTGTACTTTTAATATATCTTTAGGTGTTATGTTGTTATATAACCGATATTCTCATACATGATTTAAATGTCATTAATTCAAGTAAATGTAAATGGAAGGCAAATGATTAATATACAAAATATCATTCAATATTTAATACTTAAATGCTGTGAAGGATTTTCTATTTTACTTTCTATGCCATAACAGTGTTGACTAGGTTCAGGCTTTCTAATAACTACTGTGAAGTTTTTGTATATTTGCTCCAAATTAAATAAAACTGACTCTTCAAATTCATCACACTCATATGGGACTGAATTTACATTAAATACTAAAGTTTCCTTATGAAAATTATTCTATTTTAACTATAAAACTGGTAATCTATGTAGTAATACACATGCATAATGTCACACAAATGCACACAATAATTACTTAGTCACCCAATAATACTTGAGTAAAAGACTGGAGAAGTATATTTTAACAAAAGCAGAACAAAATATCATATTGTACAAGCATAACATAAACACAGATAAAGCATTGAAAACTGCAACTACCAAAGAAAATACACTGTTGTAGTTGAATATTGAAAAAAATACAAGGAATAAAGTTCTGAGGAAAACGTGGGAGTGGAAATAATAGTAGCAAATAATGAACTTAAAATTGTTTAAGGAAACACACCTGGACTTCTCCTACCAAATTTTGTTGACTCTGAATGAAATTATTTTTCTGATAACAGGATGTCACCCCATGGCCTGGCAATCAGAATCATCTTCGTTGCTCAGACAGGAGTTGGAATGCTGGGAAATATCTTGCTCCTTTATTGTTATATCTTCATTCCCCACACTCAACGGAGGCTAAAACAAACAGATCTGATTATCAAAAATTTAATTTTGGCCAACTGGTTTGTTCTTCTCTCCAGAGGAATTCCTCACACAATGGTAGTCTTGGGGCTGCAATATTCTATGGGCAATACTGGGTGCAAATTGGTCTTCTATCTTCATAGGGTGGCCCGGGGTGTGACTCTTGGTACTATTTGTATCTTGAGTGGCTGCCAGGCCATCACAATCAGTGCTAGCCATCACAGCTGGGTGAAAGTCAAGGCCAAAGACCCCAAGTACATGGCATTTTCCATTACATTCTGCTGGATTCTTCACATGCTGGTAAACAGCGGTGTCCCTGTGTACATTACAGGTGCCAGGAGAAGCAGCAACAGCACACTCTATAAACACTATGGGTATTGTTCCAGTATAACTAGTGAGCAAATGGAAAACTTAGTGTATTCTATGATCATGTCTTCCATTGATGTGCTGTCTTTGGGGTTTATGGTGTCGGCCAGCATCTTCATGATGCTCGTTTTGTACAGACATAAGCAGAGTGTTCTACACATTCACAGCAAGAACTTCTCTTCCAAATTCTCTGCTGAGACCAGAGCCACCCAGACCATCTTCATTCTACTAATCACATTTTTTTCTCTATACATCCTATCTTCATTCTTTACCTTTTATCTGTCTTACTCTGATCAACCCAGTCCAGGGCTGATGAACATCAGTGCGCTCTTAGCGGCCAGCTTCTCCTGCGTAAGTCCATTCGTGATCATCACCAGGGACTCACACTTCTCTAGGCTGTTTTGTATGCTATGCTGCCCAAAGATGAACAATTTCTGTAAGCTAATCATGGATGTAGGTGGCATATCGGTGAGGTCTTGGTTGGTTGCCAGCAGGGCAACATGGGATGGGTGCATTACACATGAGAAACATTCCATGTCAAAGCTTGGCAAGCTTCACAAGCAGAACCCAGCGAGCAGCATACAACAAATGACAAGCAAAAAGCAACACTGCTGAGGGTTCTAAGTCTTTAGCTGGAAACATGCATGACATTGCCATGGGATCCAGGCTGTCAGCTGATGTATTTGAGTCTTTCATGCATGGATAAGCTTTCAGTCTTCTGAATTTGAGCTTGTAGTAATACAAATAATCCTATTAATAATAATCCTCTCTGACATTTAAAATTTATTCAGGCTCCCCGCCTTTAGGGTAGGTAGCACCCACCCCATGGTGCTACACCACACCTTGAATTACTCCCAGCATCGCATCCTTGGTCCCAGCAGCTCACACTCTCCATCAAGGCACCTTCGAAGAGCGCCCGGAGGCCTTTGGATGGATCTGCAGATACAAGGCACAGTCGCCATAATGTGTTTCTGAAGACTGTTTGTTTCTAAAGGTTTCTGTTTCCTTCAATATGTTAAATCGGAGACTATTGATCCAGACATATTGTAGACTCAGTCAGACAAATAAAAACTCAATTCCATAAATTCTTCCTAGCTTCCCCAAAAGACATACATTAAACAAGGCTTCCTTTTTCCTATTTTGCAGCACATACTTCTATCACGGAGCAGACCAGAACTTGGGATCTTTCACATGGCTTTGTACTCATATTCTTATATAACCCTGCTTTATGACATCCTGTATGTAATCACTCCCCTCTTTAAATCTTTATTTGACATTCAAAGATATTAAAGTCTCCCTGTCACTTTCACTCATTCGTTAGTGTGGTGCATTAACTATTGGTCAACTTGCAATACTCAAGTGAACCTAATTAGTACAGTTCTAGTTGTGGAAGGCCTACCTGAGGATTAGTTTGGGTTTTTTGGTTTTTGGGTGTTTTTTTTTTTTTAGTTATTTATTTTTTTTTGTGGAACAAGGACTTGAACTCAGGACCTCGTGCTGCTAGGCAAGTGCTTATTCTGACCATCTCCCCGGCCCTACCTGAGGACTGTTGCTGACAGCATAAATGAAGAACTGGAATGGAATATAGAGTGCTGCTCACATTCCTGGAGAAGCCCATCACACTGGATTGCCTGATGTAAACTCAACAGTTTTGAGTTTACATCAGGAGGAACATATATTTTCACTGTTGCTGACAATGCTAGTGGTTCTCCTTTGAGTACTCTGGTCCTTACCTTGAGCATTGGTTACTGGCTTCAGTGCAGATCCCTCAGCCTGGTGGCACTCAGTGTTCATCCCTTACACATACACTTTCTCCCATCTGCCACTGACTTTTGGGAATTCCTAGTGCAGATGTTAATGCACACTTTCATGAGGCATCGGGGTGTGGTCTAGGCCTCCAGCTGGATTCATGGAGAACAATGCTGAGGCTCTAATCCTTCTCCTGGAAACATGCAGGACATTGCCGTGGGATCCAGCCACTCAGCTACTATATTTGAATCTTTCATGCATGGGTAGATCGCTTATAAATAATCCCATTAATTATGTGTCGTATTAAATCTCTTTACTGGTAAACTCTGAATAAATTAGATACATGTACAAAATGACCTGCAAACAACCTGAGACTCTTTCCTCAGTCTGACTCATGTTAGTGTCTGACGTGACATTTGGAATATGTTTATACCAAGCCTTTTCCCCTGGTTTCATTCAGACATGTCATACATCGCTGTTGATATGAGACAGCTATTATTGATTTCAAAGTTCTTTCCGGTCTCTAAATTGAGCTCGAGTGAACTGGAAACCCAATTGCACCTGGAGGGGATCATCCTTTAACGACACATTTTGAGGTACGAGATGGCATCACAGTTGGTTTTTTTGTTTGTTTGTTTGTTTGTTTGTTTGTTTTGGTTTGGTTTGGTTTTTTGATAGTCCATCGGATTTAGGAATGAGATGCTGCTTATTAATACAATCCAAGCAGGAGTCACATAGATATGTCCCAGAAATATTTTCTCAATTCTCATAGTGTAGAAGTTGGATTTAAGAACTTGATTCTTGTTTTGATTCTTTTATTTGTTGTTTTTTAATTTTAATTTTTTAAAATTTTATATTTTTTCATTTTGATGAGAAAAATGATGAAATAGCGATGAAACAGTTTCAAAGTAGGTTAGTAGGGAAGCTCAATTGATTAAATGTGTGCAGGTGGGACTAGGGCTCAGTGCACACAGAAACAAGCTGCCTCAGTCCTGAGATATACATCCTGTCTGGTTAAGGTCAGCTACTAGCAGCTAGGCAACATTGTGTCACGTGATACTCACTTTGCAAAAGCATAAATAAAGGACTGTTTTGTCGTGGAAAAAGAAAAAGAAAAAATTATATATACATATGTACGTATGTATATACAAGACAGGGTAGATATAAAGCTACTTTCTTTAGTTTTTTGAGAAGAAAGTTTTATACTAACATTGTTTAGGCAAAATATCACATCTGCATCTTATCCTCTCAATAACTACTAAAAAGACAACAATATGCAATGTATCAGTTACCGGTTTTGATTCTTTTGGGTGAATTCAGTGTATTTTTCCAGATGAACAAAATCAACAAATAATCATGTATAATTATGCACAGAGATTTATTAGACTTACAGTGTGAGAGACAGGAGAAGTCACACAACCAGAGGAGCCAGTAACTCTTCAGTGAAAGAACAAGGAACCTGCAGCATAAAAGGGAGGACATAACTGGTGAAGCTGTCCAACATGAAAGGCCTGGAATCTCAGGGGAGATTAGTCAGGGTGAGCCTGCCTGGGAAGAAGGTGCTCGATATCTGTACAACAAGGCTGAGATGCAAGTGCAGCGGTAGGCACACTCTAACACCTCCGGTTCTCAATGAAAGTGATCACATTTACCCATAATTCACTATCCTGCTCATCTGCGCTACAAGGTCCTTGTACTGAGTCACTGTATTCAGGGATGCGGCTTCACCCTTCAGTTTTCCAGTCTACAGGTTATCCATGAAAATGCACACTAAGAACTTGGCTTTATTAATCTACTAA